AAAATTAAAACGTACAAGCTTAAACCTTATATCTGGAGATATATTTTTGTATGAAGCGGTTGTTAGTCAAGGGTTTGGACATTTTCCTGTGAGTCAGATGATATCAGAAAGGCATGACACAATTACAATATCTTTTTGGCTAGATTTGTGGATCAAATCTGGAGCAAATCCACCAAACTAGGCAGTTTCAGATTGTTCAAAAGCTCTTCTCGGAGCCATGTGCAGATCATTTTGTTCATGTGATCTTAGGACTTACGTAAAAAATTGTTTTTCAAATCTGAACGGTTCAACCTGTGATATACCACCGTGTTTCATTAGAATAGACGTTTCTCATATGATTAAACTGTTTTGCCGTTTAAAAATACTTAATGAAATTAGAAACAAACGATTAAAAGAATTTTATGTACGCGGATTTCGATTGTTATTAACTTCAACAACGTTAGAAATGTTCAAACAAATATTGAAATCATTAATGACAGTTATTTTAAGTCACACAGATGGTTATCTAGATGACAATAATACGAAACCAAATTCTTCAGAAAGTAGTAGAATATTTTTATTGTCATTAATAGACTCTACATCATACAAAGAAAATAACTCTGAGGAATTGGAAATCCACCATTTAGAAAATGCAAGTGAGGAGTTAGATGAAAATCCAATAACAATCTATGAGCAAGACGAAGTTAAGATTTTCATTGATGAAGTAGAAAATGAAAGTAATATTGATGCATTAATTGAAGGCAATAGGGAATCAGCATACTACTTACCAGGATTAATAAAAGATTTGAAACGTTATTGCTATGATTTTCCTCTATGGACTTGAGTGATGACTGATAAATTTAAATCGCCTTATGTTGACCAGGCTAAATGCTGGTCCGACCTATGCAGATCCGTTGACTCCGACCCGTGGGGTCTTCCCTACAAAGTCGTCACCAAACGCATCGGTCGTCGACGTCCAGGAATTGAAGCCCGCGGCATGGAGTCAGAGATCGCCGATCACCTCTTCCCGAACCCCCCAGCGACGGACTGGGCACTCGAGCCCCACCTACCAGAAACCGCAGAAGATGAAACCGTTGAAGACTTCACCCTGGCCGAACTGGCCCAAGCCTGCAAAAGACTTCCCCCCGGTAAGGCAACCGGCCCCGATGGTATCCCCAACGAGGTTCTAGCCAAGGTGTTCCTCCGGAAGCCTAACATCCTACTCAGCGTCTACAACAACTGCTTGGCCAACACCACCTTCCCTTCCCGATGGAAGGAATCCAGACTGGTACTATTGCACAAAGGCCCCGGCAAGCCGATAACCGAACCGTCCAGCTATAGGCCGCTGTGTATGCTTGATTCCTCGGGGAAACTCTTAGAGCGGCTAATTCTGGCAAGACTCGACACGCACCTCGATAGCACCGGTCATAGATCACCAAACCAATACGGGTTTCGCCAAGGCAGCTCGACCTCTGACGCAATGGAACGACTGCTGAACGCCGCACACGGCGCAGCGTTAGGCGCGGCACAGCGTTAGGCGCGGCACAGCACAGGGATATTTGCGTGGCTGTGTCTCTAGATGTGAAGAATGCATTCAACACGGCTCCCTGGAAGAAAACCTAACCTGTCTTTCCACTCGGGAAAAACTCATAAATCGAATGACTCTGAAGATGGTTGCTGAATGATCCTTGAGCTATATTACACATTACTTTTATAGAATTAATTGTGTTTAAATTTACAGCTTTTTCCGATCGAAGAATGTTGTATGGATTATATACTCGTTTTTCAAAACCGAATACAGGTGCTATACTATATGGATATTCAAAGTGTAGTATCCCATTACATTTTATATACGATCTGAAATCATCAGGATCAACCGTAATGTCGAATGTTAAATTGGTTAAGTTTTTACTATCATAGGCAACTATTTGCTTCTTAACTCGATCCTTAATATCTTCAATTTCATAACAACCCTCTTCCAATGTAATAAAACATATCGTAGGATTATTATTGTTTTCATTATCAACTACTTGTATAGAAAATTTATTATTATTTTCATTAATATTTGGGAATGAATTAAATGACTGTAAACATAACAAAGCCATTTCTGAGTCATCGTAAAGGTTTATAGGCGGAAAATAATTTACAGATAATACAGTTGAATTTCCAGTCAAACTTAATGTAATAGATTCATGCATTGTAAAAATTCAAGACATAAATGACCACAGTTAAATGTATTGAAGTCTTGATAGTTGGAATAGTTATATACTATTTTGAACTGTCTGAAATAATGTTGTAATTCAATTGGTGGGGGTAAATCACCAAAGCTATCAAAATATACAACTTTGTCCTTATTTTTATAAAACGATACCCAATGGCTTCCATCGCCTGAAGATATATCCAAGTTTAATATACCACATTCAATAGCTTGCGGTTTTTCAGGTAAGTTATCACGTGAAAAGACTCCACGGAAATGATTGGTTTTCAATTTTACGGTATATTTTATAATATCTTGAGGCGGTCTGTCAGGTAGCGTAATCATCAGTTTTTTTTCTTAACCTATTCTTGTTTGATTTCATACCACTACCTTTTTTTTCTTTTTGAATTTTTAACCGCATTATACACACTAGCACCTCCAGACATCAAACTACCAAGTGCTGACAATCCTGCAAATATAGGTATTAAGGGAATTACACCTCCTGACCGTCTCGGTGCTAAAATCAGTCTTTTACCACCATTCTTTTTCTTTAAGATTCTTTTTTTCTTCGCTGCTAGTATTCCATTTGTTTTTATAGCACTTTTCCGTTTACAACCCATACCTATTTTTCTTTTAGCTTTCATTATGTTTGTTACTGCGTACGCAACTAATTTCTCTTTTCTAGGTGTATCTTTTGCTTTAAATCTTTCCCAAGCACGATTTTCTAACACTTTATCAGCTTTATGTCTATCGTCTAAATTTTTACTCGCTGCATACACAATATCGTGATCACGACAAGCAGCATCCAATGGGTTTATTCCTTTATCACCACGATCTAGTCTCTTTTTTAATTTCGTGCCAGGACCACAATACTGATATCCTGAAACATGGAATTCGAACGGGAGACTATTTATAAGGGAGTTTACAAATCCTTTACCAGTCTTGTTTGAATTGTACTTACGAATTGAACACGCCATCTGTAACTGGCTATAAATTTAAAAAATCTAGAGTATTTGTATGGAGGAACAACCTGAATTAAAAATATGATCGTCAGGTATTGCCCGCTCCCGGATTATGGTAATTGTCGTGCGATGGTAGTGGACTGTAATAGGTAGGTAAATAGAAAAATGGATGACGGAAAACTACAGCGAGAGAAATAACAATAACGTTGTTGTTGTATGAAAATTATCACGGAATATGACGAATATATTAAAACGTTGCTAACAGGTGAAGATGCTTACAAACTATGTTAGTAGTAGGTGGGGGCCAACCACAAGCGGTCGCCAATACAGAGGGACAAAAAAGAAACAAATAATAAATGTACAAAAAAATTGATATAAATCATAATACCACGTCGGGTAACGGAAGAACATAAACAAATGAAATCAGCTGTGTACGACCTGATAGCGACGATACTGCAGCTGATAGCGGGTATTGACAAGTGACAACTGATGGTGCTACCGTTGTCCCGGCACGACGATAATGGGCAGCTGGAAGTTGACCGGGCTGCGGCGGCACACCACAACGTCGACTTGGACGAACAAACAGTCGACGAACGGGAAGGCTCGTAACCACGTGACGAACACGGCGGATCGCACTGCGCACACACCGCGCGGACGATAACGGCAACTTAAAACACAATGTGGTTTTGGCACGGGCGGCTACAAAACGCGATTTGTGTGTGCAACGAGGGGCACGACACGGAACAGAAAGCACAGACAGCTAGGGCGCTTGGACAAGCCAAGATGGCGTGCGTTATTGAACGACGACGGCACGCCAGTTCGCGTAGGTAACAATAATACGATGATTGCCAAGACGGCTGAGAAAAAGCGGCAGGAACGGTGACTTCGCGACAAGAGGCACTGCGTCGGACTGCATGCAGCGGGGATGAGACCGTCGGCGACACACCGATAACACTTCTCTCTCCGGAGATATCGGAACGGTCGCACGGTGTCCAAAGTAATAGCGATAACGCGGGGCAAAGTCCAAGACCGGGCATACGCACCGAACAGTATTTATATGAAAATAATATGAATTTGATTGAACAGAAAGATAAATTAGATGTAATAAATGTAGATGTTCAGGTAGTAAAAAAACCATCAAGACACGGCTCGTTATTACCCGATACTATACGTGCTATACTAGTTGGTCCCAGTGGCTCAGGAAAAACAAATATAATGTATAATCTGATCACACATGCAAACGGGTTAAGATTTGAAAATATTTATTTATACTCGAAAACCTCTAATCAGGAAAAATATGTTTTATTGAAAAAAATAATAGATGATATAAAATGTACTAATTTTTTCATATTTACAAGCGCTGATAAGGTTATAAAACCAAACTTAACGAAGAAAAATTCTATTATAATTTTTGATGATGTGATATGAGGCCCACAATCTTTAATCAGGGAATACTTTAGCATTGGTAGGCATTCAGGTGCCAGCTCCGTATTTTATTTAGCACAGACATATTCTAAAATATCAAAACAGCTTGTAAGAGATAACGCAAACTTTTAATAATACTGAAACAAGATGATACAATTTTACGACATATATTCAACAATCATTCGTCTGCAGATACGGAATTCTCAGAATTTCGGAAAATTTCTCATTTATGCTGGAATCATAGCTATTATGGGTTTATGGTCATCAATAAAACTCGAGAAATGAATGAAGGAAGGTATAGATGTGGTTTTCATACATTCATTAAAATAAAATAATTTTATGTGTTTATATAAATATACCGTCACACAGTTATTATCTACATAGTGTCATCAGTAGTCATACGATACAGGTATATTACATTTATTATTTACAATGAACAAAGAAAAAGTCTTGTTGGAAAATTTAATAACATCAAAAAAAAAATATACAACGAAAAATAATGGAAATGAAACGTGGTGTTATAGATTCTGAAAACTATTTCCGTGAAGCATTTAAGCCGATAATTGAACCATTGAGTACACATGCATAACAAAATGAAATATATAACACACAGTCGAAGGTACTAGAAAATAAATCAGAGACCTCCTACATAAGTGAAGAAGATAATGATGATGAATTAAATTCATCATATGAAATTTTTTTAAATAACCATCCTAAATCAACACGTTATGATAAATCTTATGGTATGTATTATGATAAAGATAGTGATTCATATAAAATAGGAAAACATTCTGTTACTTTTAGTCACGGCAAATTACTGTTGCTTAATAAATACAACTATTGCAGATATAGAATCTTATTACAATATATTGAAAAATAGTGGAGTCCATTTAAAAGGAGATGGAAAGCCTAGAACCTCGAGGTACCATAAATGGGTGACTGTTGTAAAACCACTGTATAATCGAATGAAAATGGAGGAAAAACAGTTTAACGAAGAAATAAGTAAAATTAATGAGAATACAACTCCTCGAATTAATTTAAAATCATTTAACAATCATTTATCTAGTTCAAGCGCTAAACGCAGAAAAATAACACAAGAATTTGAACCATTTGATTTTAATCCAGAAGCAAACAGTTCCATGTCTGCAAATACCGTAGTTGAAAAGATGTTTAATTTTACTTCATCACCAAAGACTATGAAAGGTTCTGGTTTATATAAAGATGTCTTACCTCAAACCCAATTAGTTTATTATGACGATC